TATTATTATCATTATTTATTTACGACAGAAAAAAATTTTTTTCCCCCGGTTTGTATCGATTTACTTACGTACGTTACGCGTCATTGAGGTTGTTGAAAAAGTTTTTATGGAAAAAAAATTTGATCCCTTCTCCCTTCCCCTTCCCTTCCCGTCCACCGGGTCTCCCACGGAGGGATAATCCCACGACTATTGTTGGTCTTTCCAAACAATAAAATAAAGGTTTAATCCTGAGTGACAGTCACTCATCTTTAACGCTCTCTCCTATATATATATATATATATATATATATATATATATATATATAATAAAAAGTAATTATTTTTATTGTTGTTGTGTCGTCTGCATAAATAACAAACGTGCAGACATTTTAATGCAGATGGTGAGTTCGTACGATCTTGAGAAATGAAAAATGTTTTTTTTTTTTTTTTCTACTAAAACAGGTTAGAATTTTTTTTTTTATACATTAAACGACTTTCACCCCGACAGAAAATAACGCAAGGAAAGGGAAAGGAAAAGGAAGGGGTTGACGTTAGGGAAATGACGGTATCGGGTGATGGAAATAATCACGAATACGAAAAAGTAAAAAAATCGGTTTTTCGTTGACGATCAAAGAGTTGGTAAAAACCCGCCGACGGGGGAGGGTGGGAGATTTTATATGAGCAACTCCTAAAATTACTTTGTAATAGATTTTACGTACGTAGTAACACACAAACCAAAAGGTAATTTTAATAGGGGTGATTCATTTTTGGAAATAATCGTAGAGGGTTGTTGATGTTGTTGTTGCTGCCGTCACCGTTATTAACCCCCACTAATAATAATAATAACAAATTTTTTTTTTCGATTCTTTTAACGTTTTCAAAAAGAGAAAAACAAAAATTTAACGGTTATATTTTCCGACTCGACCACACTCCTCACCCCCCCCCCCAACACCCTCGCATTTGACTTTAAAAAAAAAAATTTTCCCAACATAATAGTAATAATAAAATTAAATTTTTTTCGTTATGATTTCGTTATGACATTTTAAAAATTAAATTTTTTATTATTATTATTATTATTTAAATAATAATAATAATTTTTATCTAATGCCACTTTAAGTTCTTTTTTTTTTAATAAAATTTCTCAAATATACAAAAAATAAATAATAATAAAATTCATTCATGTGAGTGATGAGATAAAACAATTTTAAAACTCAAACGTAAAAATTTTTTTTTTCTTTTTAAAGAAAAGTGAAAGCTGTTGTCGTTGTCGTTGTTGTTGTTGTTGCTGTTGTTGCTGTTTGAAAAAAAAAACGACATTTTTGTTTTTTTTTTTAAACTAAATAAATTTTAAAGTGTTAAAATAAAAGTTGATCGCATGAACATAAGAATAAGAAGATGAAGAAGAAAAAAAAACTGGCGTGATTATGTTTCTGCCAAAAACAAACAAACAAACAAACAAAACGAACGAAAAAAAAAAAAATTTCAAGGGGAGGCTTTAAAAAAAAATGTCACACGACGATATACGCGTGCTTTTTCGACTTTTATAATCTTTGCATGACTTTTTTTTTGTTTTATTTTATAATATAAATATTAAATTATGTAAAAAAAAAAAAAAAAAATCGTCTGCATGCACGCGGTTGCATAAAAAAAAAAAAAATTTCGTCGTCGTCTGCTTTTATTATTATTAATATTTTTAAAGGGTCAAATTCGTAGTAACCACCAAAGCTTTAAATAAAAGTCATTGTACTGCTCTTTCTAATAATTTGTTTCAATATTATTATTATTATTATTATTATTATTATTATTAATAAAGTCGTTTTCGTATTATTAAATTATCATCATCATCATCATCATAATATTATTATTATTATTATTATTATTAATAATTTTTATTACTTTCGACATTTTTAAAAACAAATTTAAAAATCATCAAGCGTGGATAAAAAAAATGTCGTTTGTTTGTTTTATTTATTTATTTATGTATTAATAATAAACTGAAAAGGTTATTAATAAATAAAATTTTCGATTTATGTAATTTTACGTAATTCATCAATTCAGGAAAAAAGAGAGCGGGCGGGGAAAGGGGGAGGGAGAGGGAAGGAAATCATTTTGCAATTTTATTTTACGTGAAACGGTTAGAGAAAAAAATCGAAAATTCAATTTGTGAGTGGAGGGGGCGGGAAGTTTTTTTTTTGTGCGTTTTCCATTTCGTTTCTTTTGAATTTTATTTTTTTCCTTTCCCCTCCCCCCTTTCTCGAAAAAAAAAGAAATTTATGGTTTAAAAATGGACATCTTAGCAGCCATGGGATCAAGGGAGCGAGAGGGAGAGAGAGAGATGGTGTTGTACAAAAGTCAAAAGGGTAAAAAAAAAATAATGGGAGTAAACCTTTGGAAAATTTATACCCAAAGGAGAAAAGGGGAGAGGGAGGAGGAGGTTAAGAAGGGCAAAAATTAAAAGAGGTTAAAACGAAAATAACAATTTTATTAAAAAAAAAAAAGAACTCGGCGCGAATAAAAAAAAAACAAAAAAAAAAAATGTGGAATTTTCTGGAATCCGACTGCGGTTTTTCTTTTTTTTTTTTTTTTTTTTTTTTTAAACCGTCGACGTCACTCAAATAGAGTTTTTGCGGTAAATCAAACTCTTTTAACCCTCTTTGACACTTGATTTTTCATCATTTGATTTATATATTTATTTTTTTTTACGTCCTTATACGTAAAAAAAAAAAAATTCGCATAGGAACAAACAAACAAACTAAAAAAAAAAGCAACAACGACAACAACAACAACAACAATCGTAAGAATTCTCCGGTTACAAACCGTTAAAAATTATTCTCTTTGAGCTTGACGCGTCATCGTTTCAATTTAAATCTCTCTTTTCCCTCTTCATTCATTTTATAAAAATTTAACGTTCGGTGGTAAGAGAGAGAGAGAAAGTAAAAAAGAAAGAGAGAGAGAGAAAGGGAGGAAAAAAGTAACGGAAATGACAAAAAATCAGGCACAATTTAATAAGGTGGCGTAGTAATAATAAATAAATTAATTCGCAATTAATATTTATTGATGATAATCAAATCACGTGATTGATAAGGAGTGATGCTAATAATAATAATAATAAGAATAATAATAATAATAATAATAAGAATAATAATAATAATACTGATCATATCATTCATTAGATGAATTAATTTTCGTCGGGATTGTTGTTTTGCCAAAAAAAAAATAATAATAATAATAATTTTAATGTGAAGAAAAATGGGGTGAAGTGCGTGCGTAAGTGCGTGTGCATGTGTGCGTGAGTACATATAATCCCGAAGTTAATTTGCGAACTAAAAAGTCACGAAAAGCGGTGCTATCAATGATTTCTCGTAAATGCGAACGTGATGTGATATAATAATAATAATAATCGTTTTATATGAATTTTTTTTGAATATTGTAATGTTAACGGTTTTGTTGTTGTTGTTAAAATATATTTGGTAGCAAATCGATTGTGGCACGAAACGCCACCGACGACGATGACGACGACGACGTGTGTGTGTGTGTGCGCATCAATAAAAAAAAAAAACAAACGTGTACCAAAAAAAATTTTATATTATCAGTTTTAAATATCTTTGCACTACTTTCTCGTTCCACGTTTTTGTTTTTTTTTTTTTTCACATTTTCTCTATATCCCGAATTTTTATCTTTTACGATATAAATTTTTATTTTTTACGTTTGTTTTTGATTGTTTTACGCATTAAGATTCTCAATAACGATTTTTTTATTATTTTTCAAACAAACAACAACAAAAACAACCCGATTGATCCGACGATTGTTTTTTATTTTTCTTATCGAATTGGATGTTGGGTACATATTAGCCATCGAAATTTTTTTTTTTTATTGATTTTATCGGTATACTTTACCTCCCCGTTTTTTTTTTATTAAAAATTTATTGTTTAGAGAGAGAGAGAGGAAGAAACAAAGAGAGAGAGAAAATGAAAGAGTAAAAGAGAAATTTAAATAGTAAGGGTCCGAATGAATGAATAAAGAATTAACAAGTGAATTAATGAATGAATGAATGCGTGAATAAATGAGTGATTGATTGATTGAATGCGTGAATGAATGAATGAGTGATTGATTGATTGATTGAATGAATGAATGACGTAAAAGAAAATTTTTAATTCGAATTTTAATTTTAAAAAATAATAAGGAAATTAATTTTTTTCCTTATTAAAAAAAAAATGTTTACGATGGCAAATTTCCACATTTTAAGTTCAAAGGTCAGAGTGGAAAAAAATAATTAAAAAATAATAATAATAATAATAATAATAATTGAAATCGAAAAAAAGGGTTTAAAGTAAAAAAAAAAAAAAAAAAATATGTTATAACGTTTCGGAACGATGATTTCGCACATGAATAATGAATTTTCTTTTCCCTCTTTCTCTCTCTCATTTTTTTTACCCTTCTTCTTTTCATTTTTTTTTCTCTCTCTCTCTCTTTCTCTTTTATTTTTTGATTCTTAATTTACAAATGAAAATTTAAAGAAGAAGAATTTTAAAAGTAATTTTTTTCTTTTTTTTTTATAAATAACTTTTTCCAAGATATTTTACTTCGCTGCACATTTTTTAATTTTTTTTTTTTTTACTTCTCATTCCTTCCTTCCCTTTTTCCTTCTTTCTTTTTTCTTCTCTTTATTTTCTTTTCTTTCTTTTTTTCTTTTTTTTTCGCGTGTTTTAAGAGTAAACTGTATAATCCAGTTGTTAATTTTACATTATGGAAATTTTCGAAAGCAACTGACGCAAAATTCGTTAAAAAAAAAAAAAAAATTTTTTTCTTTTTTTTTTTTTTTTTTTTTTTTTTTTAATTTTTTCTTGTTTGTTTTTGTTGTTGTTGTTGTATAATTTAAAAAAAAAAACTGGTGTGAAAAAAAAGAAAAACCCGAGAATTTTTTATTAAATAAAATTTAAATTTAAATTTAAAAAAATTATTTTTAAACGTTTAAACAAACTAATTAACTAAAAGTTTTTTTTTTTTCATAATAAAATCCGATTATCTTCATAACGTGAAAAATTATTTTTCGGATTTAATTATGTATAACAAAATGAAAGTGTAAAAATGGCGTCGAGTTAAAAATTTCAAATCGTTATTATTTAAAAAAAAATAAATAAATAAATAAATGTCGTGATGGTCGTCGTCGGACATAAAACTACACTTAATCGTAACGATTTAAACAAACAAACGACGACGACAAACGACAAACGAAAAGGATTTTTTTTTTAATAATAAATTATTTATATTATTTAAATTTTAGATAGAATTTGTTAAGTGGGTGGTTGTTACACTCTTTTGACCGAAAATCTCATCGTCGTCGTGGGTGAGGTTTTGTTATTTTAATGAAGAGAGAGAGAGAGAGAGAGAGAGAGAGAAAGAGTGAGCGAGAGAGTGAGAGAGAGACAAACGAATATTTCGAGTACCCGAGATGACATTCGCGATTTTCAGGTAAAAAATATTTTTTAACCGTTAGGAGACAGACAAATATTTTAGTAGCGTGACACGTCAGTCAAAAAAAATTACAATAATAATAATAATAATAATTTCTTTTTTATCTCTCGATATAATATTTCAATAATAATAATAATAATAGTTTTTTTA